TTGGTTCCTCCCTTGCTTTCATCTGCAATGGCAATGCCTTTGTGGTATTGCAGAACTTGAGGCAGTATCAGATGATGTGTCTGCACCTTCCAGGCTTATAGAAGTCTTTGTTCCCTTACATGCGGTATAGAATCGTTACTGCTGCAGAACTTACAAGTGGACTGCTTTCTTCCAAGGAGAACCAAGGTTATGAATATAACAAACAGTATTATTCTAGTCAAGGACTATTATCCTGCCCTTGAGAGATTTTGGAACAACCACTCTCCCAGCCTCCAGAATATGCACCTTGAGCATATCATCATTCTTTCACTTAATGGCATTGGAAGGTAACAGAAACAACTTCCAGCTGAAGAGTTTCACTGAAAACTAGGACTTACTCTACTCAGCTGCAGATTTGCAGCAAGACTACACCTCTAAACAAGCTGAGCATTAATGAAAGTAAATTAAAAGCAGCCATAAAATACTGCACACCCATGACTCAAGCCCTGTAGTTGCCACATACCTGTTACATTTCAGGTTTGAGCCCTGACGAACCAACTTCTTTCACCACACATAGAGAGAAGCTCTTGAGATCAGCAAAGGTCAACCGAATGCAGCCCAGCTTCCCTCTGACACGTGCTCTTGCTCTCAGCTACACACTGCAATGCTGAGGCAATGCTAATGCAATGAGCCTTTTCCAGGGAAGGCTTCATGTTCAGACCAAGTCTCCCGGGAGGTGGCTTTTGCCAACTGCCTCCATTTTCAAACTGCAAAGAACAGCTCTTGCACAAAGGACAGACATATTTCCCTGATGCACCCAGTTCTCACTTACCTTCAACAGAGAGCTTCTCAATAGCCCGCCTCTCTCCTCGACTACAGTGCGGGGGAAGGCAGAATCCACGGATGCTTCTCCCAGTTCTGACACGGGAACTTAGCACATAATTGGGATCCAGGTCATCACCTCCCTACAAGATTAGGAAACCAGTGAGTACAACCCTGTTACCAAGATACCTCCCCTAAATACACGTAGCTCTCATACATTTGAACACACACCTTACACCTGAGGTATTGACTACTTGGTCTGTAATACCATGTCTTGCTGCAGGACTATTTCCTTCAGCATTAGGTCAAGTATGTGTGACACAACCCTTGCTTAGAGGTCAAGGGTACAGCTACTAAGTAGTCCTAAAGGACAGGGATACCACCAGACCACCAGTTTTATGTCCATTTCAGACTACAATCTGGGCTTCTCTTACCCCTTCAGATCTGCAATCTAGAAGTATCAACAAGAGGCAGAACCTTCTTCAGGCAGGTGTTTACTCTTGCAAACAAAACTTATTTATTACTGTTCTCCAAAGTTTCTTATTTTCAGTATGACCTATAGCAAGCCCATCAACATGTCATCAGGAATTCCTAGAGTTTACAGTAACATTTGAAATCCATAAAACAGGCAGAAATCCTTACTCCTAGCCATAATATCTATTCTATAGTATGACACCATCATCAGCTATGACAATATCATCAGCTGATATTTAAGATCCAAGATCAGATAGCAGGAAGTGTTTAATTTTTATGACAGGCCATGACTCCTAGGACAGTGTTGTTTAGGCTTAACTACTACAGCCCATGGTTCATGGAAATACATAAAGAAGGTGTTTGGCACAACCTGTGCCACAGCAGCACCTGAGGCAAGCTCCTGCTGCATGCCAGCTACCTGGTTCTACCCAGCCACTGACATCCTACAGCAGCAAACTCTTCAGTCTGACTGCATCAGACTCACAGCCCATGTGTCTGTGCTCCATGGAAGTGAGGGGACAGAGCCTGAACAATCAGTTTAGGCAGCTGCCAACAACTTTACAGTCCTCAGACCAGTAACCTGTAATCGATCAGAAGTTTATACCTGCAGGTTATCAGCATTCAGGTCGGTCTTGTGTTGATCGCTTGGTTTGTAGCCACCATGCCTGTCTTCAATAACTGGATCAAAGAGCTCCTTAAACACGTCATAGGATTCTTCATCACCAGCCACACATCCTACTGTCATTATGAAGGGATGGCCTGAAGTGGTAATAAAGTCAGAAGAGCTAAGTTTGGGTGACGTTTGGCTGTACTCCAGCGCAGCACTAACCAGGCAAGTTCTTTAGTGGCAAGTCTAGTCACTTAGAAATTCATTCTTACATAAAAACATTTGGAGAGACCCTACATTTTGCACTTCATCCAGTTAATCAAATGCAGTGCTATGGAAACCCATAGCTGTTGTCATTAAACCATGCTCCTTTGTCAAGCTTGGTTTAGGACAAATTTGCACAGCACATCTAATTTTACTAACTAATTTAGATCACTGGATAGAAGTTATGTCTAAACAATCATGCTTTGCTGTAAGCAAGCATGCTTCGCTTTTTTGCTCCTTCTGCTACAGAGCTACATTTCTGTAGTCTGCTCATAAATACCACCTCCACAAGATTAGTTTTAAGTCACCATATTCAAAAGCACCAGTTACTTCAGCTGGTTCACACGGAATATTCTCAACGCGTTTTACCAGGATTATCAACCCCAGTCTGAATGACATCATCCAGGGTGAAGCCACTGGGCGTGACTCTGTCTCTCAGTTTCGTGTATAAATCCAGGGTTAGAACTTTGGCCATGTGGTTGTTGTGGGTGCTCAGGTCCGGGTACTCCTCATCAGGAGGCAGTCTCTGATTATTTAGTTGGGCCATTTTGATATTGCTAGAGTAAAAATAAATACTGTAATGTTAACATGTAAACACATCTGCTCCCCCTTTTTCATAGAAGTGCTAGAGAACATCACATAACCAGTTTGGAATAAGAACAGACCAGGACAGCCAGGTAAGCCAACATTTCCCCCCTCCTCCCTCCCTGGTTGCATTATAATTAGGATGTATTTGGTTAGAGGTTTTTGGTGGTTTTTTTTTTTTTTCCTTCAGATTTAAAGTATTTAGCAGAGTAGTTACATAATTGAAGTGTCTGGGAATTGATATGTCAGATCACAGCATGGAACATGGCTTGAAGGAGCACAGCCTCTTAATAAGGCCATGCCTTTAGCGCAGTCTCTCAATGCTTTGCAAGATTTGCCCCTCAGTAGCTCAAGAGTTTTGGGTGCCGTTGTCAAGAAGCACTTCCAGTCAGGAGGGAGAACAGATCATTATGCAGATCTAACGGTCCCATTACCTGGGTTGTCAACCCCAGTCTGGATGCAATCATCCAGGGTAAATCCACTGGGGGTCTGTTTATCTCTCAATTTCTTGTACAGGTCCGGGGTCAGCACCTTGGCCATGTGATTGTTGTGAGCTTTCAGGTCAGGGTACTCATCCTCAGGTTTGTACTTCATCTTCAGGAGGTTGTGGCTGTTTGAGAAGGGCATGGCTGACCCTACCGTAGTCACTAAGGGAGAAAGAGGGGAAGCCTATCACAGGGGGCTTGGTAGCCTCCGAACCGCCCGGGGGAACGCCAGGCACCCAGGCAAGGTCACCTTGGCTCGTGTTCCACCCGCGCCTTTCACACCTTTGCTGCTACACCGCTTCCACAAGCGCCAGGAAGGAGGAAAAAAACAGAAGTTCTTCACCTCCACCAGCCTGGCCCCATCTTCACCCTCCTGGTCGCAGGGGCAGGGGCTCTCCCGCCTCCCGGGTAAGGGGACGCCCTCAAGGTCGCCGGGAGCGGCCGCGGCAGCGCCGGGCAGACCCCGCGAGTGGCTGCGGGGCGGGGGGAGCGGCCGGGTGGCCGCGGGGCAGGGGTGGCTCGGCTCCGCCGGGACCCCGGTCCACCGGCAGGTGAGCGGGGCGGCTCCGCTGCGCCCTCGGAGCGCGGCCGCGCCTCCTCCCAGTGCTGCCGGACCACAAGGTCCTGAGCACCAACGGCTGCTCCCCGGCCAGGGAGCGGAGGGGCGGGCGGCATCCGACAAGCCCTTACACAACAGACGGCTCCCTCGGGGGACCTGGACGGGGCGAGCATATGTAACTACCCTGCTAAATACCAGGTTAATCTGGTTTTAAAGCGGGGCCAGCCCAGTGAGCACCTGCGTCGCGCCCCGCGCCCCGGCTGCGCCCCTGCCCCGCGCCGTCCCCCGCTCCCCTCCTCGGCCGGACCGGCTCCACCCCACAGAGCAGGGGAAAAAAAAAAGGACCAAAAAAAAAAAAAAACAAAACAAAAAAAAAAACCCAAAACGGAAAAAAGAAAAAAAGGAAGAATACAAAAAAATTGAAATCCCTTGTCTTAAGGTTGCATAGCGGCTGCCCCGGTACTTACCGAGGGCTCCGCAGCTATAGCAAGGATGTCCGCGCTGCTCCGCGCCCCGCAACGCCCGAGCCGGAGTGGAGCCCCGATCCTGCCGTTGCGTCCCTTTTATATAGAGCGCTAACCGCCGCCCCATTGGCCGTTATTTATAGCCCATTCATTCCATTGGGCCGCGCGCCCGAGGGCGGGGCCAACGCTCCGCTGCCGGCCGGTCCCGCGCCTGCCGCCATTTTGCTCGGCGTTGGGGAGGCCGCGCGGGGGCGGGGGGACCCCCCCTGGGGCCGCTCCCGCAGAGCCGAGGGAGCCGCGGCGCCTCCGCTGAGCGCCGATGTGTGGGCAGAATTCCATCTCTCTGCGCCATCGTGCACCAACATGGCTCGTTGCCATGAATATTGGCTCTTCACACCTCGGTCGAGGATTCAGCCGCGGGTGTGATAACGTGCCATCCCAAAACTGAGGGTTATGTAATGTCAGCACTGGCCGTAACTGTCAGTAACTGCCCCTGAGGCGGGTGAGGATCTGGCGCCCAGCCCCCAGCAGCCCGGCTCTGCTGAGGGAGGACCTGCACCTCGCCTCCAGCACCTGCGAAGCCGTGGGCTCGTTTTACAGTTTAATGTGAAAGGAAGTAGGGTGGTTGTGTAAAGCACAGCGAATCCTCTGCTTGTCATGTGCCATAAAAAAAAAGAAGTCTTAAGCTTTTATTGGAGAGTGGGTGATTTCCTGCTAAAGATGGGCACAGGAACTCTGCAATCCGACCCATCTAAAGCTCACCTGAAATTCTCAAAAATAGTGACTTCCACTGGTCTCTTCGTGAGCCGGTTTGTCCCAAGGGCAAGATGCAGCTGAGAATCCTGATGTTTGCAGAAATAAATATATTAACAATGTGAATGACTGTCTTGATCTGACTTTCACCTTTACATAATAGTATCTTTATCTTTCTCTGATGTGTGTTTCTCTCAGCAGAACCCATGTTTATTATCCTCCTGTCCAAACAGTGTATTTTTATCCACGTGAATGAGGATCTGAGTCCCACAGTTGCCTTCCTTGATACAAGTTGTGAATGTCAGGAGACATGACCTAAAACTCTTTCCCTACCACAATCCTTTCAGCACCACAACCAGTACCCTCACCCTAACAACAAGAAGTGAGGGCACTTTACAGAACTGCTTAGGATTTAAAAATAATAATGTACGTATAGAAAAAAATCATTGCAAAATAAAAAGCCTAGACTGCCTGAAATAAAAATATACTGTGTTTGGCTGCCATCCAGATTTCCGAGTTATTCCAGGTCTGGTAGACTGAGATGCTGAATATACAGATCTCCAGGAGAAGCCAAGGGCTCAGCATCTGTACAAGTCCGGCCTCTTATCTTCCGGATCAAAGAACAAATCCTCTCTCTAGGACTGCTCTGCACTTTTAACCTCACAGAATCTTCCCCTACATATTACTAGTTTCACACAACGCTCACACTTCAGAATAGTGTAAATTGTAAGTAATGCCATGGCTAAACAAGTATTAAATGAATGTAAGCATAAAACTGTACCCAGAGTCCTCAATAAATTAAAATATAAATATAGCATTGCTGGATTACCTCAGCTGCAAACATAATTCTGATTGTGGATTTTTCTAATGTAAAACATGTATTTTTAATATTTTATTTGAAATAGAAATAAAACTAAAACCATTTTCTTAAATTATACCATATTTTTGTGGTGGTGTTCTTCACAAAAAGAAAAAAAAAATCATATCAGGGTAGGTTCTGAAGGCTCCTTTCACCTTATTCCATAATCTATTGCCACACAAACAAAGAAGCAATCAACTGTTCTGTAATGTAATTGTTCAGTAGATTTGTGGAGTCAAGGTCACCAAGATCCAAAATCCAAGGATCTACTTCTGTTCATTGGATATGCTCTTTCCCTCCCAGTCTTGCAGAACAGGGAACACCAGTCATTATAAGCAGGTAGTAGATCTCAGTGTGCCATACATTACAGCATTTCCAACACAAACAGACATCTGTTTTTCACAGAACTTTGGTCTGAGAAGCAGATATGGAAAGAGAGTCACGGGTGCAAAACCACTAAAATATGTCCAATTTATATGTTTAATAAACAGTGCACTCTCTACCCCTTTTCCCTCACCACTACTTGACAAACTTCTAGTGTGCAGTAAGTCAGAAGTGGCTGGGTTTTACTCAGACAGCATTTTAAGATCTGCTGAAAGCTGTGTGTAAACTGGATCCTACCTTTGTCAGAGCATCCCATGCCAGCTTCCCTGGTGACTTAATTACAGATGCTGTGCCTTGTGTCAACAGCCTCTGATCACCCGCTCTATCTGCCTCATCTGCTGGGAAGCACTTGCTTTGGATAAGCTTGTATGGCCTGTTAGACTGTGATAAAGGAGCCAATACTCACTTTCCATGCTGGGATGGTATCTTAGCGAATACTGACTTATACATGTTGAGTTCTGCAGCTCAGGATGGAAAGGTGGGGTGATTACTCCAGAGATCTCTGCACTGAGCTTTAACAATGAAGAATTAAGGGAAGTTAATCATGGGCCATGCAGCTAACTTCCTAAGAGGCTTAATTATAAATGTTGTGCAGTGTACAACTGCAAGAGAGGATGGGTGCTGGCTAGTGAATGTGTCTTCTGAAATTACCTGCGTGAATGTAAGATGAAGCTGAAGATTTAGGATATAAACATTTTCTTAAAAATGTAGAAGAATATTCCGAATTAGGAAACAGCAAGAGAAAGTAGTTTGCTATAAACAACTGAATTGTCTCCAGTTCTTAATTGACAACTAAACAGCACTTGAAAATTAAACACAACACTCATGTAATAGTAAATTAAAGAAATGGGTTATAGTTGCATCTGCTTAACTTGTCAAGTGAAACTTCTCTTCCCATTTATATTTATCACTTAAAATGTAATTGCCTAGTTATTATCCTTGGTGTACTTTTTCTCACTTCTTAGGCAGTCTGTTGAAAATTACTGATAGTTTCCAGTGAGCTGAGGGCCTATGGAAACTAGGAGTTGCTAAGTGTCTCAATCTTGCACACAGTCAGGCCCACAGTGATCTGAACATCAGCTCATCACGGGAAAGAAAGGACATGAGAACATAAACAATGACAAATATAGCCAATGACACTAAAAATGTCAGAAAATTAAACAAAGTGGGTGAAATATAAAGGCAAAGTAGAGCCATGATTGCCAGTCAGAAAAACAGCTGAGTAGGAGTTTGCAGTTTAAGAAACCTCTGAAACTGCATACATTATGTTTAGATTAGATGGAGGAGAGTTTCATAACTAACAAAGACTACTGCAATTATGCTATGGGTAGGTCAACATCATAACAAAAAATATGTTCTCACTGAAGGTAATGGGAAAAAAAAATCCCTTTTACTTGATGGAACCACAAAAAAAGTCACAGCTCATCATCTAAACAGATCTCCGTTACTGTGGTCGTGATTGTGAAAGGATGACTTTCTCCATTTTTGTGTATTACAGGTTACTGGTGAATGCAGCACAGTACAGAGCATTATCTGATTTAGCTGGGAACATTACCTGCACGTCCAGGGTGATTCACACGCTCTCTGCTATGCCCATACCCCTCCCATGCCAGGTGGCCTGGGCTTGTTGTGAGCAGAAGATGAGGCAATACTCTCCTCCTTTGCTTCTCCTTGCCTCCTGATTACATCCCCCGTACCACCAGGGCACACAGGGCTCTCCACATCACTTCAATCCTAAACATGAGACACAAGTAGGAGTTAGTACCATGCTGTTAGGGGGTTAGATAACGATTCTGCTGCTTCTGAGCCCACATTGTGGTTTCTCCTGCAGCCTTATGAAACCCCTGTGAGGAGCCTGGTTGGCCTTGAGCTGCCTTTCCCCAAGTAGGCTGCCCTGGGGGAGGGCAGGAGGAACTTTCTGGAAGCTCCATTCCCCAAGCACTGGAGGCAAGGCTTGGGTCTGCTGATGGCAAAGGCAAAGCCATTCCCTGGGGAAGGGGCTTCAGCCCTCCTGGTGGTAGTCCTCGAGATTCCTCACACATTGGATGGGTGAGGAACTCAAGTTCCCATTGGGGCCACCAGTCCTCATTATGGCTTTCAACAGTGACCCACTGGGACCTCTCAAGTTTCACAGAGAGGGCAGCTGCCCAAGGCAGGAGCACCTCGGCCAGCTCATCGAGAGGTGCCTGGGGGGCTGCTGAGGGCAGTCAGTGGCTGTCCCCCCTTACTCAGGGTCCCAGCAAGGAACACTGAGGGGGACGGGCGCCTCGATGGGACTGTGGGCATGGTGGGCTGAGGGGTACAGGTGACTCAAGGGGGCTGAGGGGTACAGGCGCCTCGATGGGACTGTGGGCATGGCGGGCTGAGGGGAACGGGCGGCGAGAACAGGGTCTGACCGCACCGGGCACTAGCGGCGGCGACTCCCCGGCTCCAGGCAGGGCTGGTGGGGGCGGAGGCGACGGGAGCGTCAGCAGCCTGCGACCGGGGCGGAAGGAGGCGCTGGGCGGGCTCCGCGTGTGAGGAGAACCGAGCCGGGCCGGGCCGGGCCGGGCCTGGGGAGGTAACGGCTCGGGATGCGGGGACTGCCGGCGGCTGCCTGGGGGACACAGGCGCTGGGGCGAGGGCGGTCCCGCCCCCCGCGGAGCCGTCACGGGTTAACGCTGCTCTGCCGCAGGCTAATCCCGCCTCTGACCCCTTCCCTGCCCGGTCCGTGCTTCTCATCCCCCTCCCGCAGCAAATACCGCGTTAAATCCTTCGGGCCCGGAACAACCGTGAGGTTCCCGGGGCCGCAGGGACGGGCTGATGCGCTGCCGGGGCGCGGGAGGGGGCTGAGGGGGGCTCTGGCACCGGGGTCACCTGTCGGAGCGCGGGCAGGGAGCGATTCACCAGCCCGGGGGGGCGAGAGGGCTGTGCTTGCCTCCTCCTCCTCTTCGGGAGCTTCCCCTGCCCCCATGCCAAGCTGCCAGGCTGCAGGAGGGGGAAGAGGCAGCCTGCCAGGTTCTTGTGGCAGCTGCTCAGGGGAGGGAGAGGTATACCTGGGCTGTGGTTGAACGGAGCACAGAGTTATGTCAGAGTTATGTCAGTCGAGGGATCGCCTGGGTCGTTGGGTTTAGGGCGCTGCAGCCATGGCAAGGCCGCAGAAAAGTCCTGATCCCGTGGCAGGAGGCCCTGCCTCACCTCCTCGCCACTGCTATTCCCACCACTGCCATGCCCCTACTCCCATTCCCCCATTGCCATTCCCACACACACACACTGCCATTGCCCCCCACTTGGCAGCACCGTGTGGCAGCAGTAATGCTCCTCTAATCCCCTGTCTGCTGCCCAGAGGAGAAGTGTAACACAGTGCAGGAGCCTCTGCACTGGGAGGGAATGGAAAATATTTCAAGTGTTTGTAGCTCAACTCTGTTCCTTGCAATGGGGGGAGGGGAGGCAAAGAAACTTCCAAAACTTGTCACAGACACCAATTTTACCCCAAGTAAATGAATATAATGTGCCAGGTAGAGATCTGAGCCTGAGAGATGAGTCACTTGGGATGTCAGTGTGCACTGACATGGACTGGACTTTCTGGACTTGATGGTCTTGAAGGTCTCTTCCAACCTTTATGATTCTGTGATTCACTGCTGTGACAATGAGCTGTGTTAAGTGTAGTGGCTCAAAGGAAGGCAAAGAAACTGGGAGCCAGTTTGTGTGATCAAAGGGAGCTCTTTCTGTGTCCCTGCAGACATGCTGCAGGAATGTTGCTTTTGCACATGGGTGTAGTTGCAGTAAATACTGTGAAAGAAATGGACTACAGTGGAGATCCTTTCAAATGGCACTGTTCTGAGAGCTGAAAGCTGCACTGCATTAATAGTATCTACAATGAGAACTATAGGTATCATTTATGAGCGATTAAGACATGAATGTAATCAGAAGGTGCAAGCTATAAAACACAGCATTTGTGCTATCTCACAACATCCTGTATGTATACATTTCTGAATTCATTCTTACTGTTTCACCATACATCCAGACAGGCTTGTTCTGCTTTGGCATCTGAACACCTTACGCAATAATCGTGTCATGAGCTTTGGAAGTTTTGCCCACAAGCACATCTGTTTATCGGCGTCAGTGACTGAAATTATAAATGTAGCTGCTTAACAGCAAATTGAGCTACGTGGAGTTCTGGTCAACAAAACCAGACTACAGTTCCAGAACTGAAAGTTTTTAATTAAAACAATGAAGCAGGACCAAGCTGCTACACGTTCAATGCAAAAGTGCTGAAACCAAATCATTACTCTGAAACTAAAAGTTATGCTGCTTTTGATTATGTTGTGGAAGAAGTAGCGGAAATTTGACTTTCAAAGCCTTCTGTCAAAGGCTTTAATTTCTTACTTTGGGATCACCATTACTTCCTTAAAAAATTAATTCCACAAACTGAACAACCTGCAGCTTACATATTTAGCTGCCTTATCTGAAAGGCAATGCCAGGTTTCATTGTAAGCTGCCTTCTGATTTCTAGATTGTCTACTCAAAGCCAACAAAAGTTAATTGTAATTCTCTAAACAGCTCCAAGACCACGGGGCTGAAGTGATAAAACTGTTTGCATTAGTTTGCAACTGGTTGTTTACCTTTAGCTGCAGCCCAGATTGCTTCCCAGACAATTACTTTGCACCCCCAATGGCAAATTAAAGACCACAGTATTCTTTTTTCCCATGTAGTTAGTAAAATTTATGCATAAATTAATGCAGATACGGTGTTTATCCAATCTCTAAACCTCCAGTTGGAGAACTGTCAAGTAAACTTTAGTTAGTGGTCTTAATAACTAGTGATTTATGTCAAGGCAAGTAGTAGTGTGTCTTTACATTGTAAATCACCAAGAAATAAGCAAGAAAATGGGAATAAAAGTTACTGCTTAATAACATGCTCTGAGTGCTGATGAACTGGAATTGGACAAAGTACTGAAATTGGTACTAATTGCACTAATTGTACAAGTTTCTCAGTAGCATTTTGGAGCAGGCTGAGAAATTACAATGTATCTCCCGATTTTTCTTTAAAATGTACCATAAACCAGGAAAAATACTGGTTATATTCAAATCTGTAGGTTTTTCCATTGATTTTAATTGGATTAGGAGTGCAGTGTGTGTGGGGGGGGAGGTCTCTGAACCTCCTGGAGTTCTCTTCCTAACGTCTTATTTGCACAGTGTGGTTTTGTTCTGTACTGGGGAAAATAAAATTATTTGGGTTTATGTCTGTACTTTCAGATCCTGCGAAACTCTCCTGACCTATTTAATCTTTTCTAGGCGTCAGTCATCAGCCAACAACTGTCACAATGAGTTTTGTTGAATATGGAGATACCATAAAGGATGGTGACACAGCTATTGTGTTCCTGGGCCACGAATCCATGTTTCCTGTGAAAGTCCAGCATGGCACTGTAACACAGACTAAGTATGGGGTCATCAGGCACTCCACAGACCTCATAGGCAAGAAGTACGGCTCCAAAGTGACCTGCAGTAAGGGAGGATGGGTGTTCATTCTTCATCCAACTCCAGAACTGTGGACCATGAATCTCCCTCACAGGACACAGATTCTGTATTCCACTGACATCTCTATAATCACCATGATGTTAGAACTGAAGCCAGGCTCCATAGTATGTGAATCAGGTAATAATTACTATGTTGAAATCCTTTATTAAGAACTAACACCAACAATTCCATGAAAAAACTGGGTTTTCTTTATATTTTGCTGAAAGGTGAGCTTTTTCCCGCTGTGATGCAATTTTCTGAGCCTACACATTGAATAATTTTATTTCATGTGCACATGTTACCAGCTGCTATTTCTTCAACAACTGATGCTACTTCAGTAAGCTGGCCTTGTGTATGGATGTACCTCTGAGTATGTGTTTGATTAATTCATCTGTTTAGAACAAGTATGTACACATTTTCACTTCCCTTTTCTAAAACTGTTGTTAAGTACTTTAAAATGTTTTTAAATACACGATTTGAATAAAAAGTTGAGCTTTGAATTTGCAGTTTCAGAGAATATAGCTGAGATGGCCTCATGGAAGAGATTCTGATGATAGAGTGTTGAACTAATGAGGGAAATAAAGTGGCAGTGTTTATATGAAGTGATACCATGTAAGTACATATATTTTGTTTTTCTCTTCCCAAGTGTGATCTACTTGTAGCACCACAACTACATGCAAAATCACTGATATAATACAATGGATGATGTGTTCTTCAAAACTTGGTTTCATTTATTACAGCTTTCGTGATTTTGCTTAATTTGGAAGTAAGGAGTGAAATTTTACATAAATAGATATTTTCCTGATTACACAGAGTTCATAATAATGTCTTCATAACTTTATTAGTGCAGGCAGTATAAAGCTTGCTTGATTTGAGTGCATTTCTATAGTTTGAAAAAATATGAAATGAGGTAGCTTGTCCTTGTTTTTTCTGGCTGTTTCCTTTGAGTGTTTTTATGAAGCAGTTTCATATGCTTCCCTTTCAAGCATAGATATGACAAAGGATCAGCATGACAGGACTGTGATGCACTGTACTTTCCTGCATTTAACATTTCCTGTTCCCACTCAAACATAATTTTGGGCAACTTTTCAGGCATAAGGACCACTTATCTCTGCATCCAGTTGTACCCTGGTTAAGAACCAGTACATTGAGCTGGTTGCTGTACAGCAGCACTCGAAACAGGCAAAGCCATGTGCAGAAGCCTCTGACACTGTGAAGATGGTTGGGTCCTTTGAGTTTGGAATTTGGTTTGTAGAACAATCGGGCATTTTTAGGTTTGTCACGGGGAGTAGCTTCATCAGGGAGCTCTTCACCTCTTTCCCTCCCTGCTATGTTTAGACAGGATGGGGAAAAAACCCACAACAAATTATTTGGGGGAGGGGGAGATTTGAATTGTTCCGTGTTCCTGCTCCCTTGGAATAGTCAAATGTACAGAGCAGCACTTAAAATGTTTTCAGTAACGTCAAAGGTGCCTAGGGAGAATGAAAATGTTAGATTACTTGTTTATCTAAAGAGCTAAGAAATGGAAACATTTGATGATTTCCAAAAATGTTACAAGTCCAAAATCATAGCCACAAATAATTCTTTTTGCTAATGGGAAGCTGCCCCCAGGTTTATTTTAATGCCTGTGCTATCAATGTATTGCAACTTAAGCTGTCCAGGAAAAGTGAACAGTTTTACTGCTGAAATTGTGCTTGTCTTGCTTGAAAGGCTCACTGTTCACAAAGAAGGGAAGTACTGCATGAAATCTGTCTGGTTAACCTTGAAGCAAGAGATCTTACTTCAGATTTGCTTTGAATTACAAATTTTACAGGCATTGACAACTAGAGCCTCCAGTGTGGTGATGTAATCTACTTTGGTGCCATCCCAAATTAGATGGTATTCAGTGATCCAAAATCATTAGTTCTCAGTTAACCTCGTGTGTGCTACACAGAACCAGCCCAGTGGCCATGAGTAGAAACAAGACAGGAAGTCTGGTCTAGCAATGACACTTGAGTCTGCTCCTGCTGCTGCTGGTTCTAGATGTGTTTTGAGCATTAATTAGCATGGAGGTATGTCTTTTTTATTATTTGAAGTTGAACTTAAACACACAGTTGCTGTATGTACTGGCAAAGCAGGCTCTGTAAAGAGCCCGGGCTCCTTTCCTCTTGTCTTGCTGATTGGAATGTGGAATTGTGCCCTGCATTTACACAGTGTAAGCAAAGCAGAACTGTGCATTAGTCTCCACAACTGTGTGAAGAAAGGATCGAAATAGTAAGATGAAATACCCTCTGTGTCGTGTTGTAATGCTGTGAATACGAGTATAAATGATCTTTTGTATGTGATTATAAAAATGGAGTAGAATA